GTTACCTGATGTTAGATAGGTACAACCATGACCTGACTGTAGAAGATCCCTACTAAGTATCCAAACAGACCCTAAAGAATCAACGAACAGGTTTAAATTTGGTGGCTATTTGGGCTCGGTGGCCCAATGTAATAGCCGAAACCCACTTTCAAAATGGATGCCCTAGCGGACGAGCCCAGGCCCACGAAATATAATCAGGCACGCCGGCACGTGTATGTATGCGAACCAGAAATTGCTCCAATAAAAGAGACAGAAATTGATCTAATCGGGTAAATCTCAGAATTCCCCCACGTAGTAACTCGTGCAAACCCTAGAACTAGCGGACGTCATCCGAATATCCAATCTGAAGAAAAAAAAGCTATGGCAGATAAAGTGGTAGCGTCATCGGAAGATGGCCCGGTGGCAACCACCGACGTTGCTGCCGCCATCACCTCCGACTCAGCCGTCGCAGACAGCCACAAGAGGAAGCTTGACGATTTGGAGCTCAGGAACGCGGCTGAACCAGTCGCTGAGACCGAGGAAGACATCCCCGAGACGTTAAATAATGGAACGCTAGAAGAGGAGAGCGAGGGAGCAGAATCGAAGCGGCCCCGTTTCGAGAGTAATGGAGACAACGTCACTGAAGCTGAAGACGAGGCCGAGACTGAGGGCAATGTCCGAGGTGATTTCTGCTACATATACATCTTTATCCTCATGTTTATGTCCTTTTTCAATCTGAAATTCAGCGTTGTGCGAAGTGAGTGCACGGTTTAATTATTTGGATGAACAGCTGAGCTCAACTGTTCAAGTTTAATTCTTTCGGTGAAATGCGAAGTGAGTTCATTATGAAATGGTGTAAGTTTGATTCTTTGAGGTGACAAATGGTATGAAACGTGAAGGGTGTGCATTGTGTTGCTAAATACAAAGTAACATTTGTGTGAAGTGGATATATGTTTTTATTTACTAACATGTGACTTTCTTCGCCTATTGATCATGTAATGCATCAGAACTTAATTTTCTTCTTGTACATGCATTTTCATTGAAGGCTATAGTTAGAAATTATTGTGCCTTTTTTGCATTAGAATCTATTATTATTATTATTTTTTATTTATTTTTTCTGAAAAGTTGGTGTGGTTGTGACTTATGTTAAGGCTATTGGGGAATTTGGGGTTACCGTATAATTTGTCTCACTGATAAATTTCCTTGGCAGTTTCACAGAATGGACACCAAGAGGAGGAGAAGAGAGATGAGCCTGCAGAGGAGGAACCTGAGAATCTAGAGTCTGCAGTTGCTAATGTAGAACCTCTGAAGAATCAAGAACGTCCGAAAGAACCTAATGATCAAGAACCTTCTGCAGCTCCTGTTGAGACAATTGTTCAAGAACCAACCCCTGATGAGAATGAGAAAACTGAGCCTGGCAGTTACGATGAACTAGAACAACCAAATGCTGAAAGTGAAGACCCTTCTGAACTTCCTAGAGAGGGGGATGTTCCAGTTCACTCTGCTGAAAGGAGATCAAACTCAGACAGGCAAATACTGTCTCGCAAAATGGAAGTTCCCAATGACAAGGTGAACTAGTTGAGAAGTTTGATGCATATATGTACATATATTTTTTCATATGTTTTTCGAACATCGTTATCAAAATGAAGGTCAGTTGTCAATTTTGGTTATATTGCCCTCAGAATAGTTTTCGAAAATGTTAACATGTGATTTAGTATTTAAATAAAATCCTATCCGTTTGATGGTAAAAATGGTAACTCATGTTGAAATTTACGAAACCTCCTTTGGATCTCGTCTGCATCACATCTTTACCGATGGATGAAAGATAAATAGAATTTTTTAGAAAGTGTGTGCCTTTGAGCTTCTGTTTTGTGCATTGTAGTAGAGATAGGTTGGAAGTTGCATAGAGAATGTTAGTTGAAATTTGAGGCTTTGAGCTGACTTTTAAGTTCTAATATGGGATTGGTATATTATAAAAGGTTGTAACAGTAGTTCTGTGTTTCTAGGTTGGGGTTCTCATTGGCAAGGGAGGTGATACTATTAGGTCCCTCCAGGACAACTCAGGTGCCAAAATTCAGATTATGAGGGATGCTGATGCAGATCCTCGGTCGACCTCAAGACCTGTGGAACTAGTTGGAACTTTGGAAGATATCAACAAAGCGGAGAAGTTGATAAAGGGTGTAATTGCTGAGGTGGGTTTTTCTTATATTTTTATCTTATACACTGTGCCGGTATTCTTCCCTGTTACTCATACAATGTATTCTGTATTACGATGTGTTCCAATAAGTACCTAGTATGAATCTGACAGTGTATTCTAGGCTGATGCTGGAGGTTCACCTTCCCTTGTTGCTCGTGGATTCAACACTGCGCAGGCTGCCAGCGGTGGCGAACAAGTTGAAATTCAAGTACCAGTAGAAAAGGTATGTCTTTGTCCACCCTCTCTTCTGCTGTCGTTTCTGTCCGTCACCGACTGTTTTGGAATACGGCATAACAATTGTTTGCTACTTTAGGTTGGTTTAGTCATTGGGAAGGGTGGAGAAACAATTAGGAACATGCAGACCAGATCAGGGGCACGCATCCAGGTAATTGACGTGTACATTTGCTTGTATACTGTGTCTTGCTGAAGCTGATGGATAGAGTCCACCTTTTATTTGGGTCTAGTTGTTACAACAAAATCTCTCTGATGGAGAACAACCTAAGGAAAGGATTGTCCGCATCACTGGTTATAAGAGACAGATTGATACTGCAAGGGAAATGATCAAAGATGCCATGAATCAGGTTCGTCTGGATGTGTCCTCTCCTCTCTTAGCATTTTGATGGTGTTGCTTTTCTCTTCTCAATTTACTTTAACGCTTCTGCCATGTAAGAAACATTTATAGTTTTTATTGTTATAATTGTTACTTTTTTTTTGTGCTAACTTGTTTTTAATGGAGCTACCTGTCTTCTTGATCTGTTTGTTTCGAAAATGTAAATATGTTCTCAAGACCGTGTAATCTTCTTACCTGTGGATTTTAAGAATGACTGGTAAATTTAATTGATTTGTCCATGGAGTTGCACTATTTTCCTCATTGCGCGCCATGAAAATTGCAAGTGTAGTTAAATATTTTGAGTTGCATGCTGATTCCTGTACTTCTGATTGGGGGAGGCGTTCTGCAATATTTAGATGTAGACCAATATTTGTAAGACCAATATTTTTGGACTATATCTTGGCCAGATGGAGACTTGTATGGTTTTTTAGTTTTTATTTTTTTTAGTTTTTTCTTTCTTGTCTGTGTGTTAAGAACTGAATATTGGTATCTGCGTCACAGGCTACGACCTGTCAAGTTTTGATATTATGCTTCTCTGACAAACGTTACCCTTGATTAGCATTAAGTATAGCATAGTTGATGTTTGAATTTTAAATTATTTATTTGGATTGATGATGAATATCTTGATTGACCAGCAATCACATTATTATTGGATGTTTTAACCGGGTCTTTATAATAATATATGCAATTAACTGATGCCTTCCATGTCATGAGAAATCTTTTGAGATGCAAAAACACTGAGGGGCTGATTACTTAATGATATAACAAGGTCACTTGAATGCTGCTGGGAATACCTTAAATTCCAAACAAGTTGGCGTGAATTATGTGTCTTGAAAGTGCCAATATCGCATTGGTTGACTTTAAAAATGCAGATTTGGCTTTTCCTTTCCCTTCCAGTTCGCACTTCTTGGTGTATCAATAGACAACCACTATCCCTTGCGTCATCAGAAGAGAGGTTTCAAGCATTAAACCTCATCATTCCGGGATGTTAATGGTTGGTAAGATTGCTTTGAGACTTAGAAACTGATAGTATTGCTACTAAAAGGCTATGTGGCATGCCTGATGATAATATTTCGGAAATCCAAATGGTGCCTCTTGTGGTCAGATAATCTCCATGAAGTAGATTGATTATATATAATCAAATAATTCCGCTAATTGCTCGACTTTCTTCTAATTGAATTCTTTTAAAAAATTGATGGCATCTAGTTATTTGACATAGTTTCAAACAGTTATTGTTTCTGAGCAAATTTCAGTTGCTATCTACCAACTTCCGTCGGTGATCAGTCTATCATGTGTAGCGGTAAAACCATTGTCAGAAATGAATTGCTTGCTTGGAGATCTTCTTTTGAGTGGAGGGAGAATCACATAGTTGCTTGTTTGAAGCTCCTTCAATTTATAGAAAAACTAGATGAATCCTATTTGCCAGATCGAATTTGGCTTAAATATGATCATATGAACAAATGCTTGACTATATGCTATGAAGGTTTAGTCTGGACCTTATGTTCATACTGAAACTTTTCTTATGCTAATTCATTAGGGGTGTTTTACCATGCATATCTTATTAAATTGTGATTTCTTGCTTGTGTCCTCAATTTATCTGTTACCTTTATTTTAGCTGCATTTGTATTACAGTTTATGTTCACATGTCGACATTTTGAATGGGACTTTTTAGTTTATATTTATGCAGTTATGCTTCGACTCTTATAGTGTTCTGTGTATAAGCCACTGCAATGTACAAGCAATTTCTCATCTCGATAGTTAATTGCTTGCCTCATCTGCTTGTTCGTAATATGTTTTAATTACCAACTTGGTGCTGTGTTTTTAACTTTTTATTAGTTAACTATTCTCTTAATAGTTTTAAGCTAGGAGTTGAGATACATGAGCTATTACACAGATTGTACCTAATGTTTGTACTTTGTAGTGGGATTATCTTGTTTTATAGGTAGCTACTTTTTCTAACTCAAATTCTTTGTTTAGACTGTAAGGCCTTCACCTCTCTCTGGTGGTTACAGCCAGCAGGGCTATCGTCCTCCACGTGGGCCCATTGCTCCACAATGGGGACCTCGTGTTTCTCATCACGCTCAATACTCTGGTTATGATTATCCGCAGAGAGGATCATATCCTTCTCAAAACTCGCAATATCCACCTCCATATGGTAGCCATCCTCCTTCACAGCCTCCAAGAAGCAACTTTGGCCCCAGTTGGGATCAAAGGCCTCCAATGTCGATGCACGGACCCTCACCTCAGGTTGGTTGTACGTTCAGTTTTCCTTACACAGTATATTTACTTACTAGGTAATTACAAAGATGCCCTCTGATTTCTGGGAGTTCTCGTAAATAGAACCCATGGGAGTTGCAAATATTCTGCACTAAAACCTTTTTCCTTCCTTTCCAGGGCAATTATAACTACGGGCAGCAGCCGGGCCCAGAGTACGGGCATCCACCTCCATACTTTCAACCACATCCCCAACCATACAGTCATGGGTACGAGGCTAAGTATGACAACCATGCTCCACCACAACACTATGGGCCTCCGACTACATACTCTCAGGGCGGCATGAAGTCGGGCTACGGCCCACCACAGGACCAATACGGTAAGCCGCACATGCACGGCATGCATCAGCCACTACAAGTGCCTCATTCTCAACCCTACAGCCAGCCCAGGCCAAGCCAGCCGGGTGAAGGCCCTTATCATGGTCCTGTCTCGTCGTCAGCCCAGCCCTACGGTCAGAACATACCGCCATCTCAGCAATCGTACCCATACCCATCCAGTGGACCCACACAACAAACCTATCCTCCGCCCTACGGCTCTGCAGCAACCAGCGATGGGTATGGTCACCCCTCCACCACGGCTCCAGCCGGTTCTGGGTATGGGCAGCCTGTTGCATACAGTCAAGCCGGGGCACAGCAGCAACAGCCAGCGGCGGCTGCGTATCCTCAGGCGGGGCCAACGGGAGGCTATGGCTCGTATCAGGCTCCTCAGCTTGTGGGTTATGCTGAGCAGCCACCAGCTGCTGCTGCCACCAACAATGATGCTGCTGCTGCTGCTGGGTACGGGTATCATCAGGGGCAGCCTGATCCGGCCGCTTATGGCGCTCCCCAGGGCCCAACTGCTGGTTATCCTGCGACCGGTGTTGGTCAGGCTGGCTATACCCAGGCGGCCCAGGCCCAGCCCGGGTATGGGAATGTGCCTGCACAGGCACCACCACAATATGATGCTACTCAAATGTATGGTGGGAATCGTTAAGAGATGTGTTCCTAGTGAGACTGATTTTATTGGGGTAAGGTAGTGGGGTTCTTTCAGTGGCCTGCAGTATGTTTACTTATACTGAAGATTGTTTTCCTTGACTGGCTAGGTCTTTGAAAGTGTTTCTAGTTATTGTGTTCTGAACTATTGGACAGTCTGTTAGTTATAACTTGTAATCTGACTCTCATTCTGATTAATTTCTGCGGGATATGCCAGGAGAGTACCTGTGAGACCGTACTGGCATAATCGAACACTTCACTTTTAGTGGAACTTATATTTTATTTGGCCCATGATCATCTCCCTCTCGATCCACCCTCATTTACTGATGAAATCTGCCATTTCGTTTAAGTGAAAAATGTTTGTTGGAAAGCTCCCTTGCTCAAAAGAACACAGTGGGTTGCTATATAAAACTTACCGTTCAATTATGACCTTTTCACAGAAAAAAAAAAAAAAGAA